AGCCGAGAAAGATGAAAATCCCCACCCAAATCTCTCTCCCACTTGGCTCCTGCAGCACAGTGCCCACATCCACACCCTTCCCAGGCATCTGGATCCCAGAGAGCAGCCAGAGCCAGCAGCTGCTGCCCAGATTCCTGGTGCTCCCATGCTCCAGCAGCCCAAAGGTGCTTTTGGGGCAGGATGCTTTTCCCAGGAGCCCAGGCCCGGCAGCATGCGGAGAACAAGAGCCACTTACCTCGTTGGTGCTTCCCTGGGAGAGGCATTGCCAAAGGGGAGACAGAAAGAGAAAGAAACAGCTCTGTGGATCTCAGTGGCCATGGGAGCTCATCCCTGGGGGGTTCATCCCAAACTGGTCACCCCTCCCTGCCCCATCCATCCCTCCTGCACCTGGTGCCACTCCCATGGGACAGAGCTGCTGGCTCGTGGTGGGCAGAGGCACCCAAGGCAGCAGCTCCCCTCTGCCACAGATCCTTCCTGGGAGAACTTTCCCTCTGCTTGGAAAGCCACAGGGGCCTGTGGAAGCCAGGAACAGCTCCAAGCACTTTACCCTCTTTATTTCCCCCCAGCTGGACATGTTGCAAGTGGGCAGCACCTCTGGCTTCCTGCTGCCTGTGTCCTGTTCTTGCTGAACTCCCACTGCTTCCTGCACTGGCACGGGATTAAAGATTCCAGCAAGGCTGGAACCCAAATATCCAAATAATTCTTGCTGGAATTAAATATTCCAGCAAGGCTGGAATCCCTGGGCAAAGGGACACTGCAGGGGGCTTTACTGGGAGTGCTCAGGTGCTGGGGACAGGGCAGCCAGGATGAATCCACCTGGGGCACTGCTGAGCAGCAGCACCCCTGCCCAGCTCTGGAATGAAGGGACATCAGTAAATGCTGCCTTTATTTCCCCCAAAGCTGCATGGCCAGCTGCAGCAGCACAGGGAAGCAGGGAATGTGCTTGCTCTCCACGAAAACCTCTCTGGTGGAGGAAAAGCAGGGAAGGAGAAGGGCCCTTCCTGCCAGGAATCAGAGCTGGGATGGCTCCTGAGGGATGAGCTCCTCCAGCTCTGCTGTGGGAAGAGCAGGAGGGCACTGCAGCCTTTGGCTCTCTGGGCACACGGACTGCTCCCCTGCATGGGCTGCAGGGTCAGGGGGAGTCTCTGTGGGCTTTCCCTTTTCTACAGTGGGAACAGGGAAGGGCTGCAATGGGAAATCAGGGGCTGGTGCCAAAACAGGCAGAGCCAAGATCTGGCCTCGACCTCTGGCAGAGCTGGGAGAGCCCAAATCCCTGCCCTGAAGCAGGGGAGGGCCCTGGCTGCTCCTCTTTAACAGCCACAGCCATGCACACACCAAGCACACACACCAGGATCCTCCCCAGGGCATCCCTCAGAGCTGCCCATCCCCACAAGGCTCCACAAAATCACCTCTGGTGACGGGTAAGACAAGGAGGAAAGAAACAGGCAGAACAAAAGAGCTTGCTGGGAGTTTTCTCAGATCTACACAGCTTGTTTTCCACACTGGACAGGAACTGGAGGCTCAGAGACACAGCTCCAGCCTTGCTCACCCCACCTGTGCTGCAGCCACAGGGCAGCCCCGAGACCTCCCCCTTACAACAAACTGCACAAACTGATCTGCAACAATTCCTCTGCCCCTCCTCTCGCCATCTGCAAGGTGTAAGGAACGGATTAAAACTTCAGTTAAAACTGAAAAGGTGCCCCTGCACTGATCACAGCACAAGCAGCTGGATCAAACAACCCTAAAAACCAAACCCATCTCAAAAGGGGGAGGAAAATCCCCAGGAAACTCAGTGCTTAAAAAAAAAAACAAACAACAACCCTGTTGGGGTGCAGGGAGGATACGTTTTGCGTGCTGGTTTGAAATCAAAAGCTCTTTATCCTACCTGGTCCCACAAGGCTGCAGCCACTTGGTCTATTACAGCTCCCAGTTCTCTGTACTCCCCAGAGTATCTGATATAAGCCCAGGTACAGAGTGTGATAAGTGTCAAGCCCAGAATCATGTTGCACAGGCTGGCTATGATGTCCAAGCCAATGAAGCCGGTGACGCCGGCCAGGACGTAGGTGATGAAGATGACGACGAAGAGCGTGGCCGGGGTGCGGGCGGCGTGGAAGATGTTCTTGCTGTCGTTGTGCTTGATGTACTGGATGTAGAGCTCGTCGATCTCGGCCTCCAGCTGCTGCAGGTAGCGCCGGCTGAACTCCTCCCCTCCCATCTTCTTCACGGCCCGGAAAAGCCGCACCGCCTCCTCCCTCAGCTCCGCGTGCTTGGCCTGCAGGTCGCTGGGAGCCAGGAAGGGCTTGTCCCCTCCGCACACCTGGGTGGGGAACACGGGCAGGGCACTGCTGGGGTGGCTCTGCTGGCACGGGGAAATCACTGCTGGCATGGGGAAATCATCCCTGAGATA